AAGTTGAAATTGGCTCTGGAAACGGGAAATTATTTGTTGACAACCAGCCGTCCCTTCGTTGTGAAGTTAAACTTGTGTTGTCTCGAGTCCAATCCTTCACTGTGAAGTTGAAATTGACTCTGAATGAAATTTTGTTGAGAATCAGCCGCCCCTTCGTCGTGAAGTTGAGCTTGTGTTGTCTTGAGTCTAAGATCCTTCGCTGAGAAGTTGAAATTGGCTCTGAAATTGGGAAGTTGTTTATTGACAACCAGTGGTCCCTTCGTCGTGAAGTTGAACTTGTGTTGTCTTGAGTCCAATATCCTACGTTGTGAAGTTGAAATTGGCTCTGAAAATGGGAAATTGTTTATTGACAACCAGCGGTCCCTTCGTCGTGAAGTTGAACTTGCGTTGTCTGGAGTCCAATATCCTTCGTTATGAAGTTGAAATTGGCTCTAAAATTGAGAAGTTGTTTGTTGACAACCAGCGGTCCCTTCGTCGTGAAGTTGAACTTGCGTTGTCTGGAGTCCAATATCCTTCGTTGTGAAGTTAAAATTGGCTCTGAAATTGAGAAGTTGTTTGTTGACAACCAGCAGTCCCTTCGTCGTGAAGTTGAACTTGCGTTGTCTGGAGTCCAATATCCTTCGCTATGAAGTTGAAATTGGCTCTGAAATTGGGAAGTTATTTATTGACAACCAGCGGTCCCTTCGTCGTGAAGTTGAACTTGCGTTGTCTTGAGTCCAATATCCTACGCTGTGAAGTTGAAATTGGCTCTGAAATTGGGAAATTGTTTATTGACAACCAGCGGTCCCTTCGTTGTGAAGTTGAACTTGCGTTGTCTGGAGTCCAATATCCTTCGTTGTAAAGTTGAAATTGGCTCTGAAATTGAGAAGTTGTTTGTTGACAACCAGTGGTCCCTTCGTCGTGAAGTTGAACTTACGTTGTCTGGAGTCCAATATCCTTCACTGTGAAGTTGAAATTGGCTCTGAAATTGGGAAGTTGTTTATTGACAACCAGCGGTCCCTTCGTCGTGAAGTTGAACTTGCGTTGTCTTGAGTCCAATATCCTTCGCTGTGAAGTTGAATTTGGCTCTGAAATCGGGAAATTGTTTATTGACAACCACGGTCCCTTTGTCGTAAAGTTGAACTTGCGTTGTCTAGAGTCCAATATCCTTCGTTGTGAAGTTGAAATTGGCTCTGAAATTGAGAAGTCGTTTGTTGACAACCAGCTCCCTTCGTTGTGAAGTTGAACTTGCGTTGTCTGGAGTTCAATATCCTTCGCTGTGAAGTTGAAACTGGCTCTGAAATTGAGAAATTATTTATTGACAACCAGCGGTCCCTTCGTCGTGAAGTTGAACTTGCGTTGTCTGGAGTCCAATATCCTTCGTTGTGAAGTTGAAATTGGCTCTGAAATTGAGAAGTTGTTTGTTGACAACCAGTGGTCCCTTCATTGTGAAGTTGAACTTGTGTTGTCTTTTGTGGCACGATATCCTCCGTCGTGGATTTGAAATCGTGGATGTTTGGCTTCGAGCTAGATATCCTTCGTTGTGAAGTTGAAATCTACTCTCGAGCAAATTGTGAGTTCGAGAGAAACTTTCAATCTGTCGAGTTGGTCGAAGTGTAGCTTCTTGCTGCTGAGTTAAGCAACCAACATGAATCTTTAAAGGTGCTTTTGAATCGAGTATCCTTCGTCCTGAAGTCGAAACTTGACTCTAAAAGCTGCAAAAAATTATGTATGTGGAAAATGATAAATATGATGCTCTAAAATGTATGCATAAGATGAATTTAACATGAATTGGTTATATTTTATCTCCTGAAAAAGGTCTGATAATTTGCATTAGGATGTTGAATCCAAAAATGCCTCAATATTTGATGTTGAATCTTCAAAGATGCCCCAAATGTTCCTCATTTCTTGCTTCAGTATTGATTCTGAGCATGAGTTTTGTGTCTAAAAGTCACATGTCATTTACCAAGATCCACTCTAGAGAGACTGTCTTGTTTGAAAAAATGTTTTTCTTTCTCTTTTATTTTCAAAGTTATGAAAATATCAATTAAAAGAGTTTTGAAAAATGTTTGATCCAAAGTTTTGAAAATATTGTCACTTTCACGGTTTTACAATTGAGACGAATCATAAACTAGAGTTCATCGGATATCAAAGAATTAATTATATTGTTAATCCTTCAATGAATTATAGCTATTTGACAAGTGCCAAGATCAAAGCTATTTTTGGGAAGTGGTTAAGTAAGGAAATGATAAAAAAAATCTCAGGTTATTATGTTTGGTCAAAGGTTTGGCATTTGATGCTCAAAAGTTTGGCATTTGATGCTCATAGGTTTGGCATTTGATGCTCAACGGTTTGATGGGGTAGCTTGCATGCTCCTCTACTGGAAGTGTTCTCTGACTCCCAACCTTCGTGGTCACACTCAGGTTGTGTGATGTCGTATCAAGGAATTTGTGTGATCGCCTCAGTTGCACAATTTTTATATTCGAGCTGCCTTTTTAGGTTTTCAACTCGAACCCTCCTTTGGTTTCAAGATGTTATTCAGGATTTACTTCTTGAACCCCCCTTTGTTATTTTTCTCTACCATGCATTAATTACATTATTTTTTGCAAACAAATATTAATCCTGATGGGCGGGATGAAATCTGAATATAATCTCTTATGTTTAGAAATCCATGTATGATTAGAAGGGACTTTTAAGGCACGTAATGTAGGTCAGGGTTCATGGTTATGAAAGAAAATGATAAATAGGCCCAAACAAGTGTTTTAGGGTGTTGAACCAAGGATCAATTCATTCTGATGCCTTCAATAAGTCCTGCTCAAAATGTCTCTCTCTTGATGCTCTATGATCTTCGAGTGAAGTGATTCAGTGATTTGGGAATGATTGTGCTTGATTAATCTCATAGTTTAAAGCTTGATGTGCCATTTTTTAGGGAATCTTTGCATGTGTTTTTTGTCCCTTTTTCTTTTTGATTTTTGTTCTTGTTTCCCTTTTTTCTTTGTTTTTTTGCTTTGTTGCTTTTTTCTTTTTTGTTCTTGATTGGATCTTCGCACTTGCCATTTGGTCCACCTTTTGGTATCTCATCTGAATCAATGTCTTCGCTCATGTGAGCATATTTCTTCCACCTTGCCCCCTAGTGTGGAGGGTGATCCTTGGTTAGGGTTGAATCAGAAGAAAAATACTACAGGCTCAAAAGGGGACACAATAAAAAAAGAAAATAAATATAATATAATGATAATAAAAAATATAGAAAAATATATGTATAATATTATAAAATATAACACTTAAAATAAAAAAAACTAAATATTTATTAATAATAGGTATAAAAACTAAAATATTTAAAAAGAACATACGCATATATATATATATAACAAAATAAATAATATAAAAATAATACAAGTAATAATACAAGAATAATAAAAAGAAAGAGAAAGTAAAAAAATATAATAATAATAAAATATAAAAAATATACATATATAATATAAATAAGTAGAATAAAAGGAAAATATAATAGTAAAAATAATAATAAATATAATAGTAATAATAAAAATGCAAAGAAAATAAATATATATATATATATATGGGTAATAACGTATATAAATAGAGAAAAATTTAAAAAGTGATAAATTAAAAATAAAATTAGCAAGTATGTATATATATAAAAAAAACTAATTAAGGGATTAAAATGAAAGGAATGTAAATTAAGTGGGTAAATGTCAAAGAACATCGAAGATTAAAACCGGCAAAAAAAATAAAAAAAGTTTTCATTTTTTGATAGATTTTCGTACTCTAGTTCCAAAAATGTAATTTGTTTTTGCGAAATAGCCTCTAGGGAGCGTAGATCTGAAATCAAAGTTTCGAAAAAACTCCTTCTGAGTCATCGGCTAAAACATTTGTCTTTGGGGTTCTCCAAAGAATACATGATTAACAACGCATGCAAGTGAAGAGTAAAGAGAAACAAACGAATGATAAAAAAAGCTTTCACCTTTATTACTTCGAATCGTTTACAATAGCTTTGCCTTTGTATTTTCCGTGTTTTCCTCTGTATTTTATCTGTAAATCGTGTGTTACAATAGTGAGTTACAATGGCTATTATAGTGCTTGTGGATCCTATCTTTAGGAGTTTAAATCATAGTAGAACTCTATCATATTTTTAGGAGTTTGAATCCTAGCAAAATTCTATCTATTTTTAGGAGTTTGAATCCTAGTAGGACGAAAAGGTGTGTTGACAATAATGTTTTGTATTGCGACAGTCAAAGTGTTATCCATCTAGCAAAGAATCCGTCTTTTCATTCCAAGACGAAGCACATACAATTAAGATATCATTTTATCCAACCTCTTCTGGAAGATGGGATTTTGAAACTTGAAAAGATTAGTGGAACTCAAAATCCGGCAGACATGTTGACAAAGACGGTGACTACGGACAAACTGAAGTTGTGTTCAGCTTCAGTTGGCATGCTAGAATAACAAGACCAGAAATACTGCTGCATTGATTGAGGTGTGAAGACAGATTAAAATCAGCCTTCAAGTGGGAGATTGTTAAAAGTTAGTTTCAAAGTTTGGCAACCAACTTTGAAAAATGTTTTTCAAAGTTTGGTAAATATTTCTTTGAAAAATGTTTTTCAAAGTTTGGTAAAGTTTGGTAGATGTTTGTTGAAAATAGGAATGGGTAAATTCACTTTAGTCATTGCACTTTAGGGTATTTTCAAAGATTAATCCTAAGTTTCAACTATAAATACCCTAGCTCATTCACTTCAAAATCATCCCAAAAATCATTTTCTTTCTCTCAATACTAGAGAGTTTTCTTGTGAGTAGTGAGTGTTTTGTAAACACCTGTAAATTTTCTCTCTTAGTAAAAGATTTACAGCAGTCCGGAGATGTAAGCAAATTGGCTGAACTCCGTTATCAATTTCGGGTATTATTTTTTCGTTTTTATTTCGCATTCTCACTAATCTATTTATAAGGAAATTAATCGTACTCTGTTTAATTCCCAACAATACCAAGGAGATTGATATATGTAGAATTCAAATTTTATAAAGATGAAGCAGGAGACGAGGCTCTATGACTGCAACAAGTGGAAACTTTCTGGGTGTTGAAATTCCACTACCTTCTTCCATGCTCAAATCTTCTACTTTAGTATCGTCAGGCAATTTCCAGTTGAACGCTTGTAACAAGTTCGCTATGCTCAACTGAACCATCTTTAGTCCAAGGATGTAACCAAGGCACATTCTCCTCCCTGCACCAAATGGCAGCAACTCAAAGCTTCGCCCCTTCACATCAATCTCCTCGGGTTGTTCCCACAGGAACGGGTCTCTCCCTATGCTCCAAGTGTTTACGAAGACTCTAGTTCCTTTGCGAATATCGTGTCCTGCCACTTTGCAATCTTCCATGGCCAAATGTGGTGCTAGCAATGGAGCAATCGGGTGTTTCCTCATTGTTTCTTTCATGATTTCATCCAAGTAAGGAAGCTGTGGGATGTCTTTCTCTTCTACCCATCTCTCTCTGCCGGTCACTCTGTCTAACTCTTCAGTAGCTTTTCCGATGAGTTGTGGTTGTTTGATCAGTTCTGAGATCGCCCATTCTACGGTTAATGCCGAGGTATTTGTGCCTCCGGTTATCAGGTCCTGTAATCAGACCGTTATTTCTATAAAAAAAAATAGGCATCATTTTAGGAATAGAAAGAATGAGAAAAATATAGATTCATACGAGTATGAGTCCCCTGATATGATCATAAGTGAGCTTAACGTTAAGATCAGGATCATCAACTAGCTGCAACAGTAAATCCACCATGTCTCGTGCCACAAAATCCTTGGATAATTCTTTCTTTTTCCGCTTATGTTCATCGAACACATGATCAAAGAATCGGTCAAGTTTTTTCATCAAAGCCTTCATCGCTTTATGTAGCCCTGCAAGTCCAAAAAGTCTAGCCAAGGTATCCAATTCCCTATATTGACCGCTCCAGCCAACAAGAAAAACTCGTCTTACATCCTCTTTCTTAACCTTAACTAATTACGATATCGACGACAGTTTTAGTACTTATGGAGGCATATAAGGATCCGAATTTGCCATCACAAAATCAGTAACCCTAAGAAGAAGGAAAGAAACAATGAATATAAACATTATCTGCTAATACATAGAATTTATCAATAAATAAGCAAATGATCAACAAGATGGTATTCAAGGTCATTAGAGACTGCATACTCTTTGCAGGATCTTGAAGCGGGTTGGAAACCTTCTACAGATTTTAACTACTACTGTTCAAAAGTGAAATCCTAATTAGCATAAGATGAATTCGTTTGCGTACGAGTTGATGTTAACTATCATGTGCAGAGTGCTGACATTAAACAACACCGAGATTCGAATCTATTAGACAAAGTGTCGTATATGCTGATGCATACAGATCCAACAAAAGATCAGGGAATTCAGGGTTCTGGTGAAACCCTGTATGTTCTATCAGAAGGAAATAACAATAAAATTGCTAGTTTTAGCTGATTCAAAAGGTTTACACGATTCGAGATTAACATAACATACATGAACAACAATTGGTAGATTAGGGTGCTTTCCTATGCTGGTCGTCTTCAACTAATTCAATCAGTTGTTTATAGTATCCAGAATTACTGGAGTAACCAACTGTTGTTGCCTGATGCGGTGATCAAGAGAATTAATCAGCTTTGCTCCCGTTTTGTTTTTTGTAAAGGTGAGGATAAGCCAGTGAAAGGGCTAGGGACAGCTGGTCCACCATCTGCAACCCGAAGTCTAAGTGAGGGTTCGGCCTTAAAGGTTTGAAAGTGTGGAATCATGCATGCCTTGTTGGTTTAGTTATGAAGCTTTTGTTGAAAGATGGTTCCATTTGGGTGACCTGGGTGCATGAGTATATAATTAAGCAACACTCTTTTTGGCAGATTACTTGCTCTTAGGATAGTAGTTGGATTTGGAGAAGCCTTCTCCATGTTCGTTGTAGAGGTGGAATGATCCAAGGGCTGTTGACTAGTCCCTTCTCTTTTGTTCGCCTTATTTGGGAGGCGCTGCGAGTTCACAGGGGTAAAGTGTTGTGGGATAGGCTTGTTTGGCACTCTGGGCATGTCCCCAAGTTATCGGTTTTGGCTTGAATGGCAGTGCTAGATAGGCTGCCCACGAAAGCTCGGTTAATTTCTTTTGGCTTGCCTATTAATGGGTCTTGTGTGTTTTGTCTGAGCAATCTTGAGAAAAAGACCATCTGTTTTTACTTGCAGTTTTACCAAGACTGTGTGGGAGGCAGTTCTGCGTCTGTGTCTTAAAGCTAGGCCCGTTCTTAGCTGGGATGATGAGTTGCGTTGGGCATGCCGGCATTTGAAGGGGCAGTCTTTGGGTTGTGCTCTGCTCCGGCTGGCTTGGAATTACTACATTGCGCTTGTTTGAAAAGAGTGTAATAGGAGGCATTTACTCGTGTGGCCTCCTCTGTGGATGGTTTAGTTTTTGGATTTCGCGGGTTGAAGTGGAACCCTCGTGGTGCTAATTGCAATGTTCTCTGCATTGAATGGGGTTTAGATTGTTTGTTTCTGGTTTTTGTGTTTGGTTGTATAGTGGGACTTTTGCTTTTGTTTGATTGTAAGATTGTTCCTGGTTTGGTTCGATCACTGTAGAGCATAAGTCTCTGGCTTTAATCGGGGGTTTTAGTAGCTGAGTTTTGTCTGGCTGTTTGAGTTTGGTTGTACAGGCGGGTTCCTGTTTTGGTGTAAAGTTGTTTTCTTGGTTGAGTTTGGAATGAAACAAATTCACCTAAAATAATCCTCTGGAGTTGTATATCATTCTAAAGATAAGCACTCTGCAAACAACAGTCTCCACTGAAGATTACAATGTTACAGAAAAAACACTACAATTACAGCAGGTTTTGACGGTACAACAACGCTAACAAAATGTTTAACAATTTACAGTTCATTATCAAGCACACCAGATAAGAAAACTTCAGTCTTAGTATTATTCAAGTGTTACCTTAAGCAAAAAGTAACAAATAATCAACAAAACTGAGTAACTAAACATTTTTAAGAATTGATGAGAAAGAAAACACATTTTATTAGAATTAACACACTATTTTGTAGGCAATACCAGGGAGATGGATTTATGTAGAATTCAATTTTTATAAAGATGAAGCGGGAGACGAGGCTCCATGACTGCAACAAGTGGAAATTTTCTGGGCGTTGTCAATCCACTAGATTCTTCCATGCTCAAATCTTCTACTTTAGTATTGTCAGGCAATTTCCAGTTGAACGCTTGTAACAAGTTCGCTATGCTCAACTGAACCATCTTTAGTCCAAGGTTGTAGGCAGGGCACATTCTCCTCCCAGCACCAAATGGCAACAACTCAAAGCTTCTTCCCTTCACATCAATGTCCCTCCCTAAGAACCTCTCGGGCCGGAACTCCTCGGGTTGTTCCCACAGGGAGGGGTCTCTCCCTATGCTCCAAGTGTTTACGTAGACTCTAGTTCCTTTGCGAATATCGTATCCGGCCACTTTGCAATCTTCCATGGCCAAATGTGGTACTAGCAATGGAGCAATCGGGTGTTTCCTCATTGTTTCTTTCATGATTGCATCCAAGTAAGGAAGCTGTGGGATGTCTTTCTCATCTACCCATCTCTCTCTGCCGATCACTCTGTCTAACTCTTGGTCGCTTTTCCGATGAGTTGTGGTTGTTTGATCAGTTCTGAGATCGCCCATTCTACGGTTAATGCCGAGGTATTTGTGCCTCCGGTTATCAGGTCCTGTTATTAAACCGTGACTTCCATCAATTAGAAATAGGCATAATTTTAGAAATAGAAAGAATGAGCAAAATATAGATACCAGTGTGAGGCCCCGGAGATGATCATATGTGAGCTTAACGTCAAGATCAGGATCATCAGCTAGTTGCAAAAGTAAATCCACCATGTCTTGTGGCACGAAATTCTTTGCTAATTCTTTCTTTTTCCGCTTATGTTGGTCGAACACATGATCATGAAATCGGTCAAGTTTTTTCTTCAAAGCCTTCATTCGCTTTATGTACCCTTTAAGTCCAAAAAGTCTGGCCAGGGTATCCAATCCCCAATATTCAACACTCCGTTCAACAGTAACACCTCGTCTACATTCTCTTGAACTCCGGCAGACTCATTATCGAATTCGATCCAAGCTGATCATCGCCGGACACACTGAAATGCTTCTTCCCAAACACCATCCTGCTTATAGTACTGAGAGTAAGACAAACGAGGTGGTTTTTAAGCACAACCGGCTTCCCTGATAATCCATGCAAGCGGGAGACAAAAGCCCGCATTTCCTCAACTCGGATGGACTGAAAGGATTCGAGTCTTTTCGAGCTGAATAGCTCGCTCAGGTAAATTTTGCGGCTCTGCCGCCAGTGAGGTCCATACGGAGCCCAAAGCATATCGCTGTAGTTGTAATTAACGTATTTGCCGACTGCAAGCTGGGGTCTAGAAGCAAAGATTTGGTCATGGGTCTTTAAAAACTCCTTGGCCATCTCAGAAGATGACGCAACCAGTACAGGGTAAGAACCAAATTTGAGTTGCACCAATGGCCCATATCGTCGGGATAGTTTATGAAGAGATTGATGAGGGAGTGAACCGATGAGATTAAGGTTGCCGATGATAGGCCAGGGTTTAGGGCCCGGTGGAAACTTTAGTTGTTTACACCGCTGGCCGATGAAAATTATGGAGGAAGGCTAGAGAAGCTAGCAATGCTATGGATAGAAGAAGCCAAGACAAAGCCTCCATTGATGAAAGATGGTTTGAGTGCTGGGAATGGGGAAACAATTGCTCCTCGCAGCGGTATTTATAATGGAGCTACTCTTACAATTACAAATTAGGGTAAATACCTCACTAATCATCAACATATTGTTTCTTTTCTATTTTCATCACCAAACTATTTTCTTTTACAAATGTTTTGCTATCATTACTTTCCTTTCTTATTTTAATCATTAACCATTAAAATTTATGCTACTCGAACACTTTAACAACTTATATTATATGAAAGAAATTAACTATATTTAAAATAATCGATTCATATAATTATTAATCTTATTTGAAAAAAATTAGCACTTATATCTTAAATAAATCTTATAAATTTAATCTTAAGGTGATTTAATTTCAATATTAATTTGATTAGAAACACAATAATTATATATTTTGATTAAGTGGTTAAACATTTGATCTTTTCGTAAGAATTTTTGGTTCAATCCATCCCAATTATATTTTAACATAATTTTAAAGTAATAACATAGTATAACTTAAATATATATGTTCTCTGGCAGTGAAACTCTGGTATTCAATTTTGAACCTTAATGGGATGAAGACCACTTACTTATCATAGGAAGAAATGTTTTCAAAGGCAAGTTCAACATGGAAAGGGAGGTCTCTACTTACTACCATTTTGAAAATTTCTTGGGCTGCTTTTATTTATTCTCTGTGGCAAGAAAGAAATCAGAGAATATTCCAAGGACGGCGTAGAACGATCGATTGCTTGCTCAAAGATGTTAAAGACGTTGTTGGAATCCGTCTTAGGGGAACTAATATCAATGGACTAGATGGTACTAACTTAATACTTTGTAATGTTTGGGATATAGTCTAACCAATCATTTTGTAGGTTGTTTTCCTGATTCTTTCGTTTTAGATTAGTGGATTGATTGTAACTAAACCTTGATTTGGGTAATAAAATCAGAATTATCAACAACAAAAAAACTTAAATACATATTTTGATAAAACAAAATTAGTTATTAAGCGTTGGATCTCTATGTAAAAGGTCAAATCCCTTCCCTATACAGACAATTATATATATAAGTGTATAGGTGCACTATATTGCATATATCAATTTTTTTAGTTTAATTAATAGTAAAATAGATCATGTTGTAAAATTTTGAATCTAAATAAATAAATTTTAAATTATTATTTTTAATATTTATATTAAATCATATATACGTGTTGTTTTCTTTTATTTTTCATGTTCATTGTGTTAGAAAAATCAAACCACAAACAAATATCCTCAACTAGGGACTGGTAGCATGGATGGAGCGTCTACACGTGGAGCTATTTTTGCTGGGGAAAACACTGATTAAATGCCGCTCCTGTTCTTTTCTCCTCACACTCATAAATATATCCTCAACTACGGAAAGGACTGTGCATGAGTGGTGCAGAGAAGTCGGCAGTACTAGTCTACCCCATGCATAATAAAAACAAGAAACGTTTTGCATGCTAAATATGTTGTTAAGTAGGGATGTGTAGAAAATTCTGATTCAAGTGATTTTTTTAATATCTGGTCTATTTTTTAGTTTTTAGATAATTTGAATTACATATACGAGAGAAAATGGATAATCAAATAAAATACGGATTGATTTGATTCTAATTTAGAATTATTTTAAAATAAGATAAAATTTAGGCCTTTAGAGTTTAGACACCCTATAACCCAATAAGTGAGTAGTCCATTAATCCACTAAGCCTCTAGCTTAATAATAATTAAGAGGTTTAATTGTTCATTGTGTGGAAATAATTAAATATATTTATATATAATATAATATAAGTATATAATATGTTTTATAGAATCACAAAATATAAAATTTAAATATGATTTTTTTTTGTTCAATTAATTTTTATATTCAAACCTGAATATCTAAGAAGATAGGATATTTGATTTTTTTTCCAATTGCATACTTATCGCAATTTTAGTAATCTAAAATTTTAAATTAAATAATATATGATATCCAAAAATATACAATCCTACTATTAAGATGTTGGCATTGAATTTATCTAGTCGGTGCTGCATCAAGATTGAAGCTGTTCTATTACATGTCTTGATGATCAGTTGATTTACTAACTTTAAATATTTTTATTATTTTTTAATTATAAATAATTTATGGTTAAGAATTTGTAAGAGAGAAAAATATTAAAGAGAAAACAACATAGATTAAGATATACGTAAAGATAAGATTTACTGTAGTTCAGTCTTTTATATCTCAAGGGATGAGAAAAATAATAACTCAATATAAACGTAGAGATCATGAAGGATACAAATACATGATATCACATGTATCATAAAATCATGTATCTATATCAAATACGAAATATCCCAAATCACAATTTTAATATCCCTACAAAACTCATCTCTACAACATAAACCTCAACAATTGCAGCAATTATAGAATGGTTGCATCTCTTCAAAATAATTATCTCTTATAATTTTAAAGGATAAGACTTACACTCTATTTCTAGAGTCAAAAATTTGGTCATCAAGAATTCTTATTCCATAAAAATTATTAACTAAATAAATTTAATCACCAAGTAATCATCAACCAATAAAACTACAAGAAAATTCAACTTAATTATCAATTATAAATTTGGGTCAAAATATAGCATATCTTCCCCTTGATCTTCAAAAATTGGTCTTCAAATCTTGTACAACTTTAATCTTTATGTAAGCCACTATTCATTAAAGTATAACCATCAAAATTTCAAGAACTTCAATTCTTACATAATATCTGTTGAAGTACTGTTTGATCGATTGAGAATTAAATCACTGTAATTGTAAACTCATTGTAGCAAAAAATTTCTTGCATTTCTCCAAAATAGTTAATCAAATAGGGAACAAATTTCTATGAAATTTCATTACTTAAACCATGACTCTAATATCATTTGTTAGGAATTTGTAAACAAAATAATAACCAAAGCAAAATCAACGTAAAATAAGAAATGTGCAACAAATGAAATTTAATGTGATTCATCACTGTCTACCTCCATAGATGAGAAGAATAATAACTCGTTGTAAATGTAGAGATCATGAATGATACAAATACATATTATCACATGTATCACAAAATATATCTATACCAAAATTTAGAGTAACTCAAATCACTATTCCAATATCACTAAAAAACCATCTCTACAACATAAACTTAAAAATTACAGAGATCACAAAAGGATTACATATGTTCAAAGTAATTTTCTCTCATAATTTTAGATTGTAAGACTTACACTCTATTCCATAATAAGACATGCGCAAGAGACAAGATTTAATATGATTCATTTATGTCTATCTCCACGAATGAGAATAATAATTCACTATAAACGTAGATATCATAAAATATAATATTTATGTCAAAATCCGAAGTATCCAAAATCACTATTCTAATATCTTTACAAAACTCATCTCTACAACATAATTCTTAAAAATTACAAAGATCACAAAAGACATCTCACCAAATAATTCTCTTATAATTCTAAAAGATAAAATTTACACTCTATTTATAAAGTAAGATATTTAGTCACCAAAAATCATTATTTTATAAAAAAAAAAATTAAATAAAAATTAATCATCAAATAATATTCAACCAGTAGAATTATAACAAAACAAAAGCCAATTTAATTAACGACTGAAGCTTTCGTATGCCTGAAATTGATTGATGCCTACGCCCAACCAAAATTTGATCCAACATTAACCTATGCTAATATATATTTTTATATTTTAAAAGATTAACGTTAAAGTATGTATTCTATATGGGTAAAGTACATATTTATTCACCTAACTTTTAGCGTGTCTCTGATTTAATAACCTAACTTTTATAATTTTAATTTTATCATTAAAATTTTAAATTTCACTCTTTTAGATCACTTGACCATTAAGTCTTTAATGTTGTTTAATTTTTGGGGTAAAATTTTACAACACTCCCAAAAATTTTCTCAAGGTTCCAAATTTTTGGAGTCCATTTGATTCACCCACATCAGAGTATTTTCTTCCATATTCAAATGATATGAGATTGAGAAAGATGAGAAAAATAATATATCTTGAGTATAAATTGACCAAGCAATAAATATTATAGAAGAAGAAGAATGTTTTAGAACTAGTTAAGTCACAAATGATGAATGACGATATCAAACGATGGTGGAAAAGAATCAGACATGTGGAAGAAGAAGACTAACAATTTAGTTAAATTTCAGAAGCATAAAGACCCAAAACACGTTGTTTTAGTGTTGGCGTTGATCACTTAATAATCGAGTCATCAAAACAAGCAAAATTCAAAAGGTTTTAACGATAAATTTAAAACTTTGAAAGTTGAGTGACCGAAAGAAAAACACATTGAAAGGTTGATGAGTGAACATGTAGTCTACCCACTTTTCCTACCGCATTGTACTAATGTCTATGCTGTTTTGCTTTACAAGATCTTTGCGAAATTTCTTCTCGTTTCAATGCTCTCTCTTATGAAGGTCAACCCAAAAAGAAAAAGTTCAGCACAAAGCAGGAGAAAAAAAAATAATTCGCGTCGCCTGAGAGAGTCAAAATCTCACAGGAAACCCCATGTATTTAGCAGGCACACGCCTTAACCACTCGGCCAAAGCGACGTCACGTACTAGTTGCCGTTTTTATGACATTATATGATGTTTTGTTTAAAATGATGACATACTTCAGCAGATAATTACACCTACTTAGGCAGCCTACTTGCTGTAAATGTAAGAGACAAATAACACTCCCATTTTCGTTCATGATTTGGGTATAATGATCAACTTACATGTGAAAGTGTATTTCTGATGAAATGGAATTGTTTGAGTTCATTCAATCGTGCTCATTTATCATGTAAGAAGTTGTTCGAGTGATTTCAAGTTTTGAACTTCATTCGATAATGATCGAGTTGAATTTAAATTCTTTTACCCGAACTTGATTTTTTAAAGAGCAAAAACATTTGCATTGATTTTTTAAGGAGCAAAAATTGAATGGCATATTTTAGAACAATTTAGCACCATGGGTTACAACAGGTTTTCGTACAACTGCAGCAATTGCATACCTTTGGACACTTGAGACGAGAGCATTTCCATCTGCAAGAACAGCAGTTTGTGCACGGAGGATGCCCCAAACTACAGCAATGAGGTTTAGGACAAGAGAAGCACCGCCATTTTAGAGCTCGGCAGCAGCTTGAACACGAATTGCAATCACATGCGCTACACTTAAACGAACAGCATCTACTCGACTCTTCATCCAAAGAGCTGCAGCAGTTGCAGGACTTGCAGTTACATGATCTGCAGTTACCACATAAGTTACATAGATTACCATCACAGCGACTGAAGCCGGAATTACAGCAACAGCAGAGGCACTGCAAGTTACAGCAGGGCAATCCACTGCAAAAGAATAAACTCCATGTCATAAGACAGGATGTGCAGAGAAGTAAAATGTTTTCGATACAAAAAGAATCCAGTTCGCACTTAGAGATGCTAGATCGACATCCCGGCATTCAAGTTTGCAGGAGCTAATGCATATAAACATGAAATTACATTACTATATAATAACTATAATTATATACATGAAGGACAAGAAATTGGTACCAAAGCCATCTCCGAAAGCCACATGATTTTCGATTCTTCCTGTTAGTAGAGACAAAAAAATAAAAGGTAAGGCTTACATCCTCTTTCTAAACCTTACTAATTACGAAATCGACTGACAGTTTTAGTACTTACGGAGGTATATAAGGATCCGAATTTTCCATCACAAAATCAGTAACCCTAAGAAGAAGAAAAGAAACAATGAATATAAACATTATCTGCTAATATATAGAATTTATCAATAAATAAGCAAATGATCAACAAGATGGAATTCAAGGTCATTAGAGACTGCATACTCTTTGCAGGATCTCGAAGCTGGTTGGAAACCTTCAACAGATTTTAACTCCTCCTGTTCAAAAGTGAAATCCTAATTAGCATAAGATGAATTCGTTTGCATACGAGTTGATGTTAACTATCACGTGCAGACATTAAACATACCGAGATTCGAATCTATTCGATAAAGTGGCATATAAGCTGATTCATACAAGATCCAACAAAAGATTAGGGAATTCAGGGTTCTGGTGCAACTCAATATGCTTCTATCAAAAGGAACTAACAATCTAAAATTGCTAGTTTTAGCTAATTCTAAAGGTTTACATGATTCGGGGATTAACATAACATACATGAACAACAACTGGTAGATTAGGGCGTTTGATGAATCAAACAAATCCAGTTTTCAACCAGGGAAATTAATTAATGCTAATAATTTGATGTTTATATCAATAACTGATAATCCTTAGAGTTGTGTATCATTCTAAAGATAAACATTCTGCAAACAACAGTCTCCACTATAAGCTACAATGTTACAGGAAAAAAAACACTACAACTACACCAGGTTTTGTTCTTTTTCATGTCCTGATTAAGTAATTTTAAGCATAATAACAAACAAAATCAGTATCCAAAATCAAAAACACACCTCAAGAAAACTAATCTCTCTCTCAAGCATCTGAACTTTAGCCTTTTCCCTTCGTTTCCCATACAAATCCGGATACTTTGGAGGTGATTTCGGACATGGTGGATGCAGAGGCTGAACAAACGAACCACCGCCTGTCTTTGCAGCCATTAATTTCCCGGTGCAACCTAGATTCTCCGGTCACAACTGGAGAACAAAAAATAGAGTCGGCTTTGCTTATTTTTTCACTATCAACCCCTCACTCCCTAATAAGCAATGTAGACAAGAAGCTGCAACTAATGTTATGTGTGAAAGCTAATACAAAAAAGAGAAGAAAAAAAAGGGTTTTTTGGGCGGGTTTTGACAGTGGCAAGGGCAGTAATTAACGTTTCTGACAAGGATAGTTACGACCCAGAACTAAAAAGGCCAAGCAAAAGCTGTACAAAAATGTAAATGAGGGTTATAGTGGTGGTGACTTGTGAGGGTGGAGATGGTGAAGGGATGCTTTTAAGTTTTAAAACCCCAAAACAAAGTTATTTAAAGTTGCAGAAGAATACATTAAATGGTGATATGAAAGACAGACAAAGGAAGATAAACATAATGAGGGTAAAAAGGGAGTCATCATTGTTAGATGAGAAGAACAAAGCTCTGAGCTTTCATCAAGACATACCTTTGTGCATGGAAATGAACTACAATAATAGTAATAATAATAATGGTAAAGACGGCAGTGAAAAAAGCCTGCAACTCTTTGTACGAACCCATTTCTTTATAAAAGCTAAAGCTTCAGTCTTCCATTCTCAGAGGGATTTGGGTGGTGAAAAATTTCAGTTATTTTTAAAACAAAAACAGCTTTACCATTAACTTATGCTAGTATATATATAAAATAAGAGTTTGAATACTTAAAAACAATATTGCAGCTGCTGTAAATTTGTATTATTTGGTCTGATCAGTCCTCAAGTGGGTGGTGGATTTGCAGAAATGCAGAAGGCAGAGAAGCGGAAAGCACGATGTTGTACCCTCAGATTGCACGTGACATCTGCGTAGGAGTTAGAAAGGAGTTGAAAATTAGTTCTCTTTCTTTTTTTAATATAAAAAACTGTCCTTTTGGGGTTATTGCACTGTTCAACGACGAATCGGCCCTTACTTTGGAAAAGAAATTTTGATTAGAATAATAATAATAATATATCCTTAATTTAATTTAGGTAAAGGTTGTGACTTTAAATATAATCGAATTTATGTTAATATCAAACATTAAGTTTCAGAAGAGAAATTAAAACCATTTTTATTTTTTATTTTTGATGAAATTGCTTTTAGAAAAGATGTTGATGTTCCGGATAATTAGAATTAAACGATAAAAAAATATATAAGATTATGAGTTGGATTGAATTTTTGATCCACTTGAATCTAATTTAAGTGTTACATCTATTCGTTTGATTGGATTGGAATTTAGAAAAAATTTACGTGATCTATAATTTGATCCGATCATATGACATAATCAAGTACGTATTGGACATAATTATGATGTGTCAAGTTGTCGGTGCATGTTAGAAATTGACTCTTAGCTTAATTAACATGAGCTTAAGTAGGATGGTGAATGTTCAAAGGCTAAAGTGGTCAAAATTATATATTTACTCTTTATAAGTTTTTTAAAGGAGATTTGCATGGTTTTATTTACTCTATAAAATTTAATTTTTTTTATTTTTAAATTTTAATCTTATCTTAAATGTTATATATTAATTTTATTAATTTAGACTACTATTGGTTTATATATTATATATAAATGGTAATTTTAGTTTTTATTATTTAATTTAATTCTTTTTAATCTTTGTAATTTAATTATATTGTTTATGTATCAACTGAATTATGAATATTTTTTAAATTCGAAAATTTCATAGAATAAAATTAATTATATTTGAGTATAACAACTAAATCTACAACTCATACATAATATCAGAAACATAATCATCATCATAAAATTTTAGTGGAGGAAAATATGTACAATAATAAAATGAAGTTCATAGTCAAATTATAAAATAATTAACTTCAAATTTAAAAATGAGGGTGTTATAGTCTAATTTATTTGATTTAAAAACTGATAGAAATTTAGGAAATATTCAAAACGAAAAAAAAATAACAGATCATTACTTAATCCGTCCAGTTTCAAAACTAATAAAAAATTTAAAAGACAAATTGGCTAAAAAAACTTGGAGAGACAATATTTTAATTTCTCTAGTTTTAAAATTAAAAGGACATAATAAGTAAATAATGACAGATTTAAAAATATTTTCAAGAGTATATATATATATATTAATAAAAATATTTTCAAGACTGATAGCATTTGGACAAGCCCAAGCATTGGGCCAGGTTCTTGTTTGGGGTATTACCCATAGGATGCTCAACCGATCATATTCATTGTTTTGGTCCATTTTCAGAGCAAAACGCCGTGGGCTCGAGAGGTCTAGCATTGGACCATTCAAAATAGCATGTTTAGGCGATTGTTAAGCGGGTTCAGTCGTCAGCTATTGATGTCCATTGCCAAGTACATGGGATGAGGCATCCTTTACAAATCTAATTATACATTGGAAGAACAGATGAGACGAGGTTATTGCCGTGAGCCAAACTTTATTCTAAATCAACTTCAAGAAGGCACCTTTGGTTAGTTGAGGACGATAATGGTCCATCAAGTCTTTTGCTCATCAATCATGGAAGACTTGTTAGTAGATTTTACTACTCCCAGATTCCCTTCTTTTCCGGCCAACCACCTGCCGAATTTTGTCAAAAGTTTCTGAAACCCTTTTTGAAAACCCAAACTACATGCAAAACGATTCCTTCACGTAGAAGAAAGAAGGTCAAATTTTATAAAAAAGATCCTTGAATTGTGTGTTTTTGGTGAATTTAATGCCACTAATATTATAATATTCCTCCGACTCCGTGGCAAACTCCGGGGTGTGTCTCCCTGGAATGCTGAAATTGATCCAAGTCGCTCTAAAGTTATACAGGTTATCTTTGGATAAAATACACCTCAACTCACTCAGTTATGTGTTTGGTATTAAACGAGTCACTTTTTTTGTAAAAAATTATAATTCAGTCACTTAATTAAAATATTGTAATAAACAAGTCGTCGGTCATTAGAATTGAAACATGCATCTAATGTGACCTGATATAATAACATGATTAGAAAAAATAAGACACGACCAATCTTAAATAATCAAATTACAGAAAAGGGTCTAAATTAGCCGAAAAATGCATAATACAAGGACCTTCTTAGAATTTGACCAAAGAAGAATAAAATGTAACAGGTGTGTTCCACGCTTTCAGATCATTGGCTGAGGGTTATAGAGTGGCGCATACGTTGCCATCCTCATCTTCTACAAGCAAACTATTCAATCCACAACACTTGCCGATACGTAGTTTACATATTCTACGTATGGCAATAGTCAAACAACTTTGCCTAATCTTTCAACATAGAAGCAAAATAATTTCAAACCCTTTATTCTTCTTCTAATTACTCGCAACATTATATCTATAAGTATAGGTTGTCTCAGACTTGACAAACATCAACTTAGAACTTTAGAACACTTCTTTGAGAGAGAGAAAGATACCATCCATGGGGACAAAAGCCAATACAATGCCGGTTATCAGCAAGCTGTACTGTTCTTCTTCTCAGGTGATATTCATGGTTCGTAGGAGGCCACATGTGGTGAACGGAGGCGGTTTCGTGGTGACGAATTGTATCCAGCTGGTAGTTTTCCAGGTCGACGGTTGTGGTGTTCTCGGTACCAAAGGGGAGCTCGTTTTAAGAGACGCAAACGGCGATGCTTTGCTTCTCATACGTCGAAAGGTAACGTATCTGGTTTTTTCTAGTGTATGCATGCATATGAATCAATCAATTTCAATGAAGAAGCTTGAACTTCCAGGCTTATTTTGCAGGAACATGTTAGATGGGAAGATAAAAAAGAATGTGATAACATGGAATTTTGAAATGATCATCATGAGGATAATTGTTTCTTAAATTAGTCTCCAGTAGAGATGGCAATTTGTTCAAGTAACTTTGTATAATGGTCAAATTTGAGTTGTTGATTCTTATATTTCAGGGAGGGTTGGTTGAGGCACTGAGCATACATAAAAGATGGAAAGGTTACACATCCGACTACAAAGGATCAAAGAAGTTGGTTTTTACCCTAAAGGAGCCTCGTTCATGTCTAGTAAAGAACAATGCCATAAGAATCTCCACTGAACCAAAAAGCAGCAAGAACTGGGACTATGAGATCAATGGTTATTTCCCCGAAAGAGATTGCAGCATCGTTGATTCCGTCGGCAACATTGTCGCTCAGGTAGTTCATATATGTCGATGTTATGACATTGTATCGAGTATCGAGTGTTCTAAGTTATAATTCGTGTGAATGACAGGTCGGAATCAAGAAGGAAGTAGAGGAGTTGATGGCAAGTAAAGATCTTTATCATGTAGTGGTGAAACCCGGAGCCGATCAAGCTTTTGTTTTCGGAGTCATTGCTGTTCTTGATTACATTCATGGTGAATCTACCAGGTGCTGATCAAGGAATTTCTATGGAGCTAAAGAAGAGAACTCTCTAAATATCTATGGATAAGCTTGTTTAATACAGGGAATGCTTTATTTTGTTTGTTTTGTTGGATTTGTATCACAAAATTTGGAATCAAGTGAGCTGCAAATTCCATTCTTGCTTATTTATTTGAGGACAGAACAGAGCATCAACCTTTCTGTTTCTGCAAATTCAATTCTGCTTTTGAAATCAACAGATAAAGAAGACATCTTTAATGGAAAAAATTCACAAATTTAAAGCTAAATATTCTGGGGAAAAGGAACAATTTTTTAGAACATGAAACAGTAGTTTATGATATTCTACCGGCTAGCAATTATGGAAGATGAAGGCACATGTTTTCTTTGATTCGTTCCTTGAATTAAACGCAACTTAACTTTATCTATTGAAATAAGAAAAAACTCAATAAAATTATGAAGAAATAATCAAATTGGGAAAATTCAAAATAAGGATATTTGATTGTTAAAGGCGAAGATAATTGCTACATAATTCAAGAACTAATCAAGTATTCGTCATTCTGGTACAGTATATAAATTGAAGACGAATACCGTTGCTTGAATTGTTGTGTGGGGAATATAAACGGCGTCAAGAACAAGCGCAGACGTTCTCCACCACCACTTTCTCGTCATCGGCGGACCTGAAAAGCAAGTACCCAACAGCCAGACCCAAAACGATAGCTAAGAAAACACCTCCGTTGAACGACATGATGGCCAGCATAAGAAGGTACCCAATAGCCGAGTTGATTCCGAAGAGCAAGGCCGTAGCGAATTTAGCGGAATTGCGGTAATTAGGGAGGAGAGGAACAGCGGATCCGCCGCCGTAGGTAGGCGGAGATGGGTTGGAGGAAGCAAGGGATCTGAAGCGGAGGCGTCGATCTTCCATGTACTGGTAGAAGGAAGCGAAGATGAAACAAGCGAGTAAGGTTAGGAGGTAACTCAGCCATGAATCGGTCTTCCAGGAATCGATGAGCAGAGTGACGTGTTTGCCCCAGTATAAGGTCATGTGCATCATCTTGTTCGAATTTTGTCGATTGAATGAAACCTCAAAACACAGACAAAAACGGAAGATGAAAGGAAGGGGGAGAGTAAAGCGGTGATTGTCGGGTTAAGACAGGAATTTTTCAACCCATCCACAACTCAATATCCGAACCAATCCAGTACCTTTTGGACTCTTCACTTACGATTATGCCCTTCATATGATGCGCGTATCGTTGTGGAAGGTGAAGCCTGGATATGGAATAAATGTTGAAAACAATGGGAGAATAAAGGGTTTTCTCCGGATAATGCGTAATATATCCCTAAACTATGATTCTTATCTTAAATTGATTTTTAAATTTTAAACATTTCATATGAATCGCAAAATTATAACCATCCTAAATTGATTCCTAAACTTTAAAATATTCTATATCAACATTCAAACTATCAGTTTTTTATTCTATTTTTATCTTTTCGTTAACGTTTAACTCTATTAGTTAAGCACGAACCAAGCGATCTCAATGTTAAGAGATTGTTGTTATCCAGTGAGGTTTTGAGTTTAAGCATGTTATCTACATAGGTGTATGAACATTCATTTTTTCAAATAGATACTACCATGTATCAACCCACCAAACTAATAAAAAATTCCATTAATTAAAAATATTATTTTTTTAAAGATTGCGAATTAAACTTGTGGTATTCTAAAAACTTCTCATGGGCTTCAAAAGTATATTAATTTTATTTTAAAAATTATAAGTTCATTTCTCAAGACCTTCATATACTAGTATAATTAAGGACATATTAGCAAAAGGATTAAAATAGAATCATACTAATAGTTTGAGGATTGATATAGAATATTTTAAGGTTTAGAAATCAATTTAGAATAGTTTATAATTTAGGGAACTCATGTACAATTAACTCTTTTTCTAAGAAAATTAGTGTGAGGCTTTGGGCTCAATAACCGCAAGTAGCTAGGTTTAAGCTGATCACCAAACCCAAGTACCCAACTCTGGGTCTTCCATCAATTTTAAGAACATTGGGGCTGTTTAGCGACGGGGGAGTGGATCAATAATTGTTTGGTCTGTTGCTGCTCATTCGGCTATGAAATCTTTGGTGGTGACAGTGATTTTGCCATTAGTCCAACTTGAGCAGATATTCCATGCATGTTCATCTCCATTGCTTTCAAAGAACCCTACGCCTGAAATGCAACTACAACCTAGGGAAAAATGTATGAAGATAAGGTTTATCAAAGCTCTACTCCCTACAATAATTTTCTTTCTTTTCATATTGGTTAGGTGAAACCACTACAGAAAAAGTGCAACAGACGAATCCATCATTGACCCATAAATCCATGGAACATCAGAAAAAGGAACACCAACTCAAACAAAAAGCTGACTAGCAGAACCAGGAGCAGTGACCTGGCTTTAAGGCAACGATTTATTCCAAGTTCGTGTTACGATTTATACTAAATTCGTTGCGATAGTCGAAGTTCGCGTTGCGATTTATTTCAAATTCGTTGCGATAGTCCAAAAGCGCAACGACGATATTACATTTGTTTCTTAAGAATTTTCTCTAAAAAGATAGTATTCGCGCGGACGTGTTGAAGACACGTATTACCACGAGCACGACCCGAGACGAGACGAGACGAGACGACCACGAGACGAGACGGACAGCGGCGGCGGCGGCGCAAAAGTCTCCCTTGTTCTCTATCACTCAACAAGGAAGTGGGAAAGCCAAGCCTTAAATATCATTCCCAATAGTATTTCCAATACTATGTGAGATTGAGCATTACCAACACTTGTTACCAATACTACGTGAGATTGAGCCTTAAATAATGATATTATTTTTGAATGTTTTACTTAAAATTACAATAATCGCGATTGATTGTAGATTGACATTTAATTATGACATATTTAATCGTATAATACTAATGCAATTGGTTGCTGATTCAGTTGTTTTAAGGTGGATGATTGTTAATTATTTCCTGAATAATCACATTGTATTGGAAACAAGTGTTGGTAATGCTCAATCCTACATATATTTGAAACACTATTGGGAATGGTATTTAAGGCTTGGCTTTCCCACTTCCTTGTTTAGTGATAGAGAACAAGGGGATTCTCGCGCGCCGCCGCCGCTGCCATCTCGTCTCGTCTTGGGTCGTGGTCGTGGTAATACGTGTCTTCGACACGTCCGCGCGAATACTATCTTTTTAGAGAAAATTCTTAAGAAACAAATGCAATACCACCAGTCGTTGCGATTTTTGACTATCACAATGCGAACTTGGACTATCGCAATGCGAATATGTAAATCGCAATGCGATAGTCGAAATTTGCATTGCGATAGTCCAAGTTCGCATTGCGATACTATCGTATTGCGATTTAATTCGCATTGCGATAATCGAAGTTCGCATTGCGATAGTCCAAGTTCGCATTGCGATAGTCGACTATCGTATTGCGATTTACATATTCGCATTGCGATAATCGAAGTTCGCATTGCGATAGTCCAAGTTCGCATTGCGATTTACATATTCGCATTGCGATTTACATATTCGCATTGCGATAGTCCAAGTTCGCATTGCGATAGTCGACTATCGCATTGCGATTTACATATTCGCATTGCGATAGTCCAAGTTCGCATTGCAATAGTCCAAGTTCGCATTGCGATAGTCGATTATCGCATTGCGATTTACATATTCGTATTGCGATAGTCCAAGTTCGCATTGCGATAGTCGAAGTTTACGTTGCGAATCTGGAAACTGATTTGCGATACCAGAGATCACGTTGTGAATTATCGATCGCATTGCGATTTAGTTGGTCATTTTAACAAATCAAAAAAAATTGATTAAAATCGTATATTATAAGACATTTTTTATCACTAAAATTATTTTTTCTTTTAAAAAATGTCGGAACTTTTTTATGCTTTCTTTTGTGTTGGGAATGTTCAGGTTGTTGACAAAGCAGAAAAAAAACCAATATATTTTTATTGCAACATCTTGCTAATTGAGACTGCAGCAACAGTGGCAGCTGGCTAATCTTGGTTTGTTCCAAGTGGAATAGTCATCATGATCTGCCCCACTTTTTAAAAATATTTTTTTGTTAGATTTTGGATGCTGCAGACATTCTCAACGACCAGATTTGTGCTAGGAAATTGAACATGATTAGTCTAAGCTAGATTCATCTATTTTCTCTTTGTTTCTTGGGAATTTTCGACGCACTTCCATTTTCTGTCTTCATCTTCTTATTTTCTGTTTACATTGTTAATGCCATAAGTTTCCATATCCTCTCTCCTTAATATGCAAAATTAAGACCAACCAGACCAAGTTTCACCATTTTTATCAGCTTCGGACACGGCAAGTTATTTGGAACATTATAATGAATGCCTCCTGGATTATGCTCAACAATAATGCACAAAAAGATTAAAAAAGAAGAAGAAAAAGAAGATACCTGAATAATCCAACTCCTAGAGACTTTGAAAGCCGAAGCTTTTCATCATACATATATATACCGGAAGGTTCATGAAATTCAGATGCCAAACTTCAGATAAATTTATTTATAGAACAATCTGATATTGAAACAGAATTCCTCTGTTTCCTCCTTTCTTTTCCATGTACTTACCGTTAAACGTGAATAATTTAAGCCAAAAAGAGCTGAGAAACAACTCTCAGACCGAAGAAGAGATGGAGTCTTGAAATCCCGGCAAGACGCTACCGGAATCCGACCTGAGAGGTCTGGGTGAATCCAGGCTTCGACGAAGAATCCTTCCAATGGCAGAAATGGGGTGCACTGTTTCGTCTAAAGGACTCGACGCCCTGAACTCATTGCAGAACCTGATGTGGCGGTCCAGTGCTTCCTCCGTGGAGATAATCGTGTCCGATCTCCGAGCCTCGTCCTTGACGGCCTCGATGCAGAGTCCGCAAATCCAACGGCCCTGGTATCGTTCACGGACACGAAGGATATAAGAAAAGGTGCATTCCTCTGTGAATCCGCAGGATTCGCATTTAACGCAGTGGATTTCAATGGGAGCAGTCGCTTTGCTTTGTGGGTTTTTAGTATCGAAGCTTGAAATCGCCATTACAGGGAACAAACATTGAATATTCCTTCTTTTGCTCTGTTTCTTCTCTCTCTCTGTGAAATGTTTTCTGATCAACTTTATATTGTGGAGGGTGATGAACCGGTAAAGTGAAAAAGAGATTTATGTCACGTGGGTCTATTGTTCACATTATCTAATAATCATATTAAATTGTAAGGTAGAGTAAATAAATTATCCGATTATAGGATTTTTTTTAATTTCTTGATTATTAAAAGTTGTAAAATATTTTTAATTAGGGTGTTATTTTGTTGAGTTTCCAATTATTAAAAATTACTAAAAACTCACTCTACTATTTATATTTCGAATTCGTCATTTTTTTTGTAAACAAATGTCGTATAAGTAACGTTAACATGCTGACTGATATATGATAGTCATTTGAGATTATAGGATTATTTTTTAGCATATCTCAGTCAGCATGTTAATGTCTAGTTCAGATTACCATCAATCTTTTTAAATGGAAATGAAGAGTTTGTAACATATGAATAGCTGAATGATTATTTTTTTAACTTTTAATTGTTATGGGACTTAACAAAGCAACACCCTATAGTGAGGACTATTTTGTAACTTTTAATAATCGAGAATTCAACAAAATAATTCGAGGACCATTTGTGTACTTTATCCTAAATTTTAATTACATTTAAAATTAAATTAAATAATTTTAAAACATAAACAGTTTCTCTTATACCACTGTTTTCATTATCCGTAAATTTTAAATATCAAACTTTTTATTCATCTTATTTAAAAAAAAATAGGGTAACAACATTTAAATTTGTTTAAACACAAATAAACTAAAAATGTTATCTTTTAAATGAACCCAATATCTTATGTCGCAATACTTCATTTGAAATTGAAGATGAAAGAGAAAAGTATAATGTTCAAATTGTTGATAATAAAAAGCGAGGAATTTATACCGATCAAATATTAATTATTGCGAATGTTTAAATATAATATTCGTATTTTTCCATCATTAAGGGATTAGTGATAAGATTTATACACAAGTACTGTAATTAGACTCTCTTCATATTGTCTCTATGTTTTTATAAATTTTATCTTGGTACGTTTGTAGAAAGTCAATTGCAATTATTTATTTAGATGTAAGAATATAAAATAGTTGTATCGATTCTATAAGATGAAGTTTATTTACGATTATATCAACCAACAAAATTACTTTTAAGATAAAACTTTCCATGAATCAATTTTATTCAAAGTGAGTGAGAGCCGGAGATGTAGTGTGATTGAAGGTATGTGTATGGGGCTGCTAAAATTGATGGAGAGCAACCAACAAGGAGGGCGTGAGTGGAGAAAAGCAAGAATAAACTTTTGACGACGCTTCTACCGACTTCATTAATCACAACGGTTCTTATTCTTTGTCTTCTACTGCTGAGTAATTCACAATCATCAAATCTCTCTCTCAATCAAACATCCTCCCTCAACCACGCATTTCCACTTTTATGTAAACATTGTTGGGTCTTTTTCATATGATCATCTCACTGTTCCAACTCACTAGGTTTGTTTCTTCTAGCAGACGGTAACTAAACTCCACAGCTGAAGCTTGTAACTTCATTCAACGTCGGAAAACAACAATGATATCCGTGTTTAGGGCAAATGAGCCATGTTCAAAGATCGGTTCCGATGGGACTAACCAAAACTGGTAACAGGGGTGTGGAAATGGCAGCTTCCTTGTAAAAACAGCTAGTCTTTCACCACCTTCATGGCATTTAGATAGCTGCCACCGGCAAAGGGAATCTTTTTTTCTTTTCCTTCCACTTTGTTGCTTGGGACCAGATAACTACAACTCATGCCTGGTGGTTTGGTAGCATATGATTTTGAAGATAGATACGGATGTTGCTATCTATTTCTTGTTTTATTTTGCGTTTGTTTTTAAACTCTTCTTGTATCCGACACCAAGACTGAATTGCAACCTGTTTGTTGTCTTCAGGGGTGATACCAAAGACAAAAGAACCCACCCCACCACCACTAACCACCCCACTTGATCATATAATCAAAAAACGCATAATTTTATATTTAAACTTAAATTTTAAGAGAAACAAAAATATATTAATAGAAAATATAAAATAAAAACATAAATTATATGAGAATTAAGATTTTCAAGGGACGACCGCCTAACATATTATAGGACGACTTGTATTTTCATGAAATGTGAACCGGGGCCATAGGCCAGGTGAGATTCATCCAAAAGGATGGGTTACTATGATGATCCCATTAAAAGCACATGCTAATGCTAGCCATTGACAGAAGAGAAAATTGAAGCAGTAATTGACAGATATGCAACAAATTTGGACAATTATCCAGTAACATGAATTTAATTTATAGTTTCAAGCAGTAATACAAAACATAATTGTAAGCTTAACCTTCTTCCAGTCCCTCTCAAACATGATTGTCAAGTAAAGCACGTTTGTTGTTTCAAATGATAAAAGAAAGGTCTTTTCATGCTTTACTAGTCGCGCTCGCTAATAGCTGTCAAATGTTCATCAATTTCCTCTGTTGACAACACACTGAAAACTGGATTACCAGCTTTCACCACTCCCACCTGCCAAACATTAAAAGATGTTAATATCAACTATAGTTCAAATACAGGGGAAACAACAAAAACTACAGATTCAACCATTACCGGGAATATATTTATGCATTTACATTAGAGAAAAAAATCAACTAAAGTAGAGTGAGATTAGAACATAAACAGACTATCATCAAAACCAACAAAGCATATCCTGGCAGTGGGTTGTTTTCAAATCCCCATAGGCATTGTGCATCACTTTCTAGTAGGTTACATACGTGATTACATGGTAGTTAACATTCGGCTAGAAAAGTAAAATACATGTGCGTGGTGCATTCCACATGTCTGGACAACCCCCTACCGGGCAGTTTTCAAATCCACATGTACATTGTGTTTGAGTTTCTTTTAGGTCTTTTAACTACTGGCATGTCCATTTGACTAAAAATGCAAATACATGTGTGGCGCATTTCACATGTCTGGACAACCCCCTAGCAGGTTGTTTTCAAATCCACGTCGAGGTAATAAAAGATTCAACGGTAGTTAAAACCAGCTAACTTTGAACTACTGCTTACTGGTGTTTCCTTTGGCCAAAAATATGCTAATTATGCAGTTTATCTCCAGGGAACATTTATTAAACATGAGAAAAGGAGATAGTTGCAAACTTATAATGGCAAGATATTAAATACTGTAACCGCTAACAAGTAGAAGGATCAGCTGACACATTATACCTCTATCTCAGTAGCCTTGAAATCCTCTTGAAGAACAGATTGCAGAGCAGAAACAGCAGTCTGCCGAATAGTATTAATAGGAACTATTAGATAAATGTGATTATTTTAGCTAACGTTAAACATGTGTCTTTGGAGACATCCTTTACCGAACATAAAAATAAATAAAATATAAATACCTGCACTGTTTCCTCATAAGTAAAAGCAGGGTCATTCTTCATCTTCTTTTCCAAGAAATTAATTGCCTCTTGCTCTTTTGATCCAGCACTGGTTGCCTGCAGCATATCCTAAAATTAGTCAAAAATAATTTTGATTCATGTTATTGCACCAATCAGTTCAGATTGGAGAACAAAATACGGACAAAGAAAATGAAATAGTTTATATCAACTTGTGGCAGCAAACACCCATAATATGATGATGGGTAGGGATAGTCAGGTATGAGATTATTGAATAGTTCCCATTCTAAGAACTTTGTTTGGATGCACCCTTCCGAAATCTATGGTTTTATGATCTTTCATTATCATAAACATAAAGGGGGGAAAATATCAAGTACGTTACTACCTTCATAATGCAATGATAAGACAGAGAACTAATAGAGAAAAACAGCAATGAATCCTAACTATGATAATACTATATACTTCCAGAACCAGGTGTTGTGAACCAAAGTCAAGGATTCAAACTCAACGAGCAAGAAAAATTAATTTGAAAACTACCTTATGACCATAAAAATGGCCTGCTGGATCACACTTGTAGAGTTGGGGTCCCTTCTCTTCATCAATACCCAAAACCATAGCAACTTCATAGAAAATAGTAAAAAAAGCTATTACAGATAAAATTGACTCGTAAATACATTAGCATGTAGCAGCTTACATGAGTTAACAAACTGAAATATCGTAAATATATTGTGACAAATACAAATTATTAAAAACAAAATCACAGTTGTCAGATTTTGAAGAATAAATACACATACCAACTCCAAGAGGTCTCATATAAGCATGTTGAGTGTAAACCTGTGATTTATCGGCAATCCTACATCAATAGAGCATGTTATTCTAAATAAGCTGTATGATCAATGAAATGCACAACCCCAAACAACAAAGAAAAGTTAATGAATAATTCAAAATAATAGTAATATAAAATGTGGTCAATTACTGGTTTTTGAACCAAGATTATATTCATGAACCAAAAACATAGAGTACATTGCCTGCAGTCATAAGGGCATATAACTTACAACAGTTTATATCCAAATGACTGGTTCTTGATGTCACTAAATTTGTTTAAAGTTCAAACATTCTCTGGAAGAAGTGAAAACTCAACAGATACAACATCCACCAATGGGAACACAACTAAACGTCAGTAATTTCAACTTAAGAGGATATAAGAAACCATACCATTTGGACAATACATCCACAGGCATTCATATCCGTATCTGAACCGAAACTCGGCTGCTTCATTCCTTGCTTGCTGGACCAAGGTCCTTGCATCAGCTGCAGAGCAACAATGCTAATCAGAAAACAACCCTCACAAAGTATTTGGATAACAATAAAGAAAATTTAGCCTTGAGCATTAATCTAATGTAGCCAGTAAAAATAAAATCGAGTTCTATGCTAAAGATAGGTAGGCAAGCAAATTAATGATAGAAAGCTGGTCATTATGAAATGCAGAAGTTAATAACAGTTAATTTATTAAGAAAACTATTCGTTCTAATTGACATTTTCATAGCTTCCATACCTTGGATACAACTTTGGAGAAAAATTCCAACCCTAAATTAGACTGTTCTTAAGCTTAAAATTAGGTATATCAACC